ACATCAAAGGTGTCTTCGATTCGATTGATCAATGTGCCCTTTGGATTTGTCTACTCAGGAAAGGTGTGCCCGAGAAATATGTAAATATTATCCGAGCATTATATGCGCGTAGCTCGGACAGTGTGACGGCTTACGATAAGCTGTTGTCGCCCTTTAATATCTCCAGCGGTATGAGACAAGCATACCCGCTGTCACCTTTCCTCTTCAACTTCGCTGTTGACGAAGTCATGGAAATCGCGTTCACAGGACATGACTTAGAAGGTGTGGATCTGCTCCCAAGAGACCGACTTCTTGACTTAGAGTATGCTGATGATATTGCCCTAATCTGTGACAGCTCACAATCGTGCCAATCCGCGCTGGACAGATTTGCACTAGTTGTCCGTCATTTCGGGCTTTGCTTCGCACCCTCGAAGTGCAAAACGTTCCTCCAAGATTGGCACAGATCGCCTCCTTCGCTAACCGTTGGTGGGAATCAGCTAGAAGTCGTTCAAAAATCCAGCTACCTGGGAAGTTTTATCAGCGCCCTTGGGATTGAAGATGAGATCACGAACCGTATAGCAAAAGGTCGAGGCACTTTTGCTAACCTTCGTCCCTTATTGTACCGGCGCGATATCATTTTTGCCCTGAAGGGTGGAGTGTACAATGCGGCGGCACGTTCGACCTTATTGTTCGATTGTGAAACCTGGCCCCTAAGATCGGCGGAGCTGAAGAGGTTAGTTACTTTCGACCATCGGTGCTTTCGCAGTTTGGCTGAAATCTGCTGGGAACACTGTGTGAGCACCGAGCGTATTCGACGCCTTGTTTACGGCACAGTAAAATGAACTGAACCGCTCAGCACCGTTATTTCACGCACCAGGCTCCGATGGCTCGGCCACGTGTTGCGCATGCCAACCCACCGACTCCCGCGACGTACGTATTTTGCGCGCCAAGGGTGTGGATGGAAGAAGATGAGGAGTGGCCATGCGATGACTTAGTCGAGAGGAAGGCCCTCACTTCTGAGCTGGCCTCGGTTTGAGCTTCTCGGCTCCCTGGTTGGGGTCCGAAAGACAGTGAACACGTTTGGTTGGACACTTGCTGATATGGCTAAGAGCCGACCTCAGTGGCGTTCGTGCTGTGAGTTTCTTTGTCCCACCTCATCCCTCCTAGCCTCCCCATCCAACCACGATCTCATTATTTAGCCTTATATAATTTTGAATAGTAATTTTTTTGATGGACAGTAGTTGGCTGGTAGCTTACCGGAACGATGCCTATCCCTTGCTGGTAGCTCAGCTGGCATGCAACTGTTAAATTTATCTTCCTTTTTATATTGCGGCACGGTAGCTGAAGTGTTCCCCACCTCTAGCTAACGTGTATGATGATGAAGCAGTTAAATTCCAAACGTCATGAAATAGTTCATTCCTCGATGCTGTACATGACTGTAAACGTTCTGCATTTTGTTCCAGATCAACGAGATCATACATGCGAATACTGTGGAAAATCGTTTTCCGCAAGGTGCTACCTCTGGAGACATGTACAAGCCGTTCACTTGAGTAAGTTCTACACCCTCCGTCTCTCATTCCTTCCAATAACGCACCAGGCGTCTTTGAAATTTGGTCCAATGTTGTCTTTACTTAACAAATACTGTTAGCTCCGTGTTTGTTCTATGGGCTTTCGCGGTTGTCAAGATGAATATGGAACTATACAGGTCATCCATTTGCGGTGGCCCGTTTAGTTTCGCAGCCACAAGTGACCGATTTGTGGTAGTCAGCTGTCTGTACTGTGGCGATGACGAGACGAGGCTTTGTATGATGTAGTTATCTGTAGTTTCTGTCAGGCTGTTATGGCAGAGGGATTGTTGAAACGTGATCTTTAACGTTTCTGAGCTTCTCGTGCTTCGCTTATCTTGATGGCACATTATGTCAACCTGCACAGGTGGATTGCGAATGGTATTTCATTGTCTACATCATCAGATAGCAAACCCGCTGGAGTAGCTTCATCCATATTTTATTATGTTTATCAGGCTTTTATTGCGCCTTGAACTTGACGCCGAGGACGCTCATTGCTTACACGGTGTTTCTGCCGGGTGTAAGCTGTAAGCTGCGTAGGCACCGTTGGTCGAACGCAACCGCTTTCTTCATGAGCCAGGTTTCGGTACGGTACAGTATAGTTGAAATGTACGCTGTATCTTTCAGCATAAGGGAATGTCACAGTTACGCCACATGTAGCTAGGATTGACAGTAGCGCCTCTAGCTTTTGATACACGACTTGTGATCTCATCTCCCTTTCTATCTGCGCTGAGACCACTGACCATGTTGTTGTATCTCTGAACAGTTTCAGGTTTATCTGCACCAAGCGTTGGCGCAGAGGGTGGGTCACATCCAATGTTGGTGGTGGTTTCCATTTGTCAAGGGTTGTATAGAGATGCACTAGACGACTGACAGCCAGTGTTTGTTTGTCCTGTGCCACTTGGCGTGTTAGTAACCTGTTGTTGCCGAAGCATATCTCGTCTGCCCATTGCAAATCAATGAGGCACTCGGCAGGGATCAGGTTTGTGTTCGGCGAACGTAGTTTTCATAGCTTCATCTGTAGTTAAGTTAGTGAACCAAGATGGAAATGGGAATCCCTGTCTCCCTCAGCCATATCCATAGAAGAAGGCGGCGACAGCTTACCATCAGCTCTCATTATGTTCGAACTCTGCGTACAGTGGTTTGCGAATGGTATTTCACTGTGTACAACAACACATTGCCAGATGCATCGCAACGCGTTGACGGACCGAACTGCCTTTGTGCAGTTCTCTAATATTGTTTATATAAATCTCTGACAGACGCTTTTTTATCGAACGGTTTCAAAAATACCGATCAACATAGTCAAAGGTATTTTTGAAGTGGAGGAATACGACTACACTGGATCCTACAGTTGATGTCTTCAGTTCAACTAATCAGCCTAACGTGCTCTTCAGGTTGCTGATTTTATCGTTTGCTACCCGGTCTATGGAGAGCGACAGATTCTGGTTACTTAGAGGCGATGGAGACCAGACTGACTGCTTTAAGATTGCCGCATTGAGACCCACTGGATGAGCTGTACAGTAACGGAGTTGCTGCAGTCAGGTGGGACAGTTTCACGAATGTGTCATGTAATCCTGTTAGAGGAGAAGGTTTGCCGAATTTGAAGAGAGCTGGAGGATGATTATCTGGTCCAGCGACCTTATTCAATTTCGACTGCTTGATCTAATCGTCTGCTTCTGAGCGAGAGGGCGGATAAAAGGGATTACTCAGTGAGCGAGGGTTTCATGACCGGTGGTAAAACTGATAA